GCTGTTTTTGGTTGTCAACTTGACTACATTTGGAATTAACTAAAACCCCCAAATGGGTCACACCTGTGAGGGATTTTTGCTTAATTTGAATTGGGAAGATCTAGTCCTCCATCGTCCCCCCATCTCCACTGGAACTCTGTAGACCAGGCTGGCCTTGAACTCACAGAGATCTGCCTGCCTCTGCTTCCCTAGTCCTGGGATTAAAGGCGTGCACCATCACTGTTCAGCTCTAATCAGTATCTTTGACAAAAGAAGAAACACCTCTAATCTGGGCCACACCTTCTGGTGGAAGCCTATATAAGAATGGAAGACAGCTGGTTTTGCCTTTTGTCAACTTGCTTTTGTCTCCTTAGCAAGTTCATTCCCTCAATGGAATTAGAGCGTACTTCCTTTATTTCTGATGTATACCAAAGACCAGCGGAGACATCCAGCCTTGCGAACTTAACAGCTACTGGATTCTTGGACCTTCATCACAGGCAACCATTACTGGAATAGCTGGATCACAGCCTGTAAGTCATTCTAGCAAATCCCTTTCTCTCTCTTATATATATGTATGTATATGTAGTATTTATTTATATGTATAAAGTATATGCAATCTTTCTATATTTATATAAATTATATATATTTACATGTATAAAGTATATATAAACATATATAATTTCTCTCTCTCTCTATATATATATGTATATATATTTGTTTTCAGAAACAAATCCTTCCAACATAAAACATAAAACAACAATGACAAAGAGCCCCAAACCTTCTGGAATCAACCTGTGCACACTACTTTGAGAATCTGAAGGTAGTGGCGCACACCTTTAATATCAGTACTTGGGAGGCAGAGGCAGGTGGATCTCCATGAGTTTGAGGCCAGCCTGATCTACAGAGTGTGTTTTAGGACAGCCAGGGCTGTTACATAGAGAAACCCCGTCTCAAAAAACTAAGAAGGGGGGATCTGCCCTTTTCTCCTCCTCCTCCTCCTCCTCCTCCTCCCCCTCCCCTTCTTCTTCTTCTTCTTCTTCTTCTTCTTCTTCTTCTTCTTCTTCTTCTTCTTCCTCCTCCTCCTCCTCCTCCTCCTCCTCCTCCTCCTCCTCCTCCTCCTCCTCCTCCTCTTCTTCTTCTTCTTCTTCTTCTTCTTCTTCTTCTTCTTCTTCCAGAGAAGGTTTCTCTGTGTAGCCCTTGCTGTCCTGGAATTCATTCTGTAGACCAGGCTAGCCTTGAACTCACAGAGATCTGCCTACCTCTGCCTCCTGAGTGCTGGGAATAAAGGTGTGTACCGCCCAGCAAGGATCTGTCCTTTTCAGGTAGTAAGTCATGGATGTCTGGTTTGGAGTGTAGTTCATGGTTAGAGCATATGTGAGGTGCTGGGTTTGATCTTGAGCACAAAACAAACAAACAAAACACTAAAACTACAGATTTTAAACATACCTCTTACTAGCAGCTTGGACCAACTCCATCACATAGATGTGAGCGAATTTGTTCAATAAAGGATCTTTATAAATATTTTAATTATGACCCCAGTAGGTTAAGAAAAAAGTTTGTTACAGGAATGGAATAATACCAAACAGCACATGGTAACACTAATTAGTATGGTTTTAAAGTTTGAGTTGGGGCCTAATCAACACAAATGCCCTCCCCACATCAAAACCAGCTTTGACCACACCCGCCTTGCCTTTGGCCTCCACCCACTCGTTAGACTGGAGTGGTCTGAGGCTGCAGTAAATGAGGCAAGTCGAGGGCCCTGTGATGTAATCAGACGGGCCCTATGTCTTCCAGCTGGACGTGAGCAGCTAAACCATCCCCAGCAGCAGCTCATTCTTGAGGATCAGTAAATGAAGGTCCCGCCTCAAGCCTTCTGAACCCACCTGGGCAGGGCTGACAACCTCTGTACAGTCCTGTCACAGGGTGGGGAGATTGCTCAGTGGTTATTAATGCTCTTGTAGAGGACCTGGGGTTTGGCTCCCAGCACCCACACCAGGCAGCTCACATCATCACTTGTAGCTCTAACTCCAGGGCAATCTGATTTCCTCTGGCCTAGAGTGATACCTGCGTGCGTGCAGGCACACCCACACGTACATCAGCCGAAGAAAAGTCACAGGCCGCCACCAGCCCCTCAGGACGGGTGCATCTGATTAGTCTTCTTTAGCAGAAGGGTTTTGAGATGGCCCTCATTTACTCAGAAAGCAGAACTCCCAAAGACCTAGAATACTCAAGCCTGTAAGGATAAGAACCAGGAAGCTAGAAGACGCTTTTCCTGTTGTATTTCCTGAATGGACTTGAAGAGAAGCAAGAAAGCAGAGGGGTCTCTGAGCGCCCTCTGCTGCCCGTGAAGGGCTATTTTGTCTGCACCCCATCCTGGCCAGATTCCCCTCCCATATTATCCTACTTCCCTGTAGTTGAAATTACTTAATTGTATTTTGTTTTTGAGACGGAGTTTTGCAGTATAGTCCAGGCTGGCCTTGAATACCTGGTCTTTCTGCTTTAACCTTCTCAGGCCCTTGCCACCAGGCTGTCTTAACTATAGGTGTGACATAGTCAGCTGTCCCTCTGTAACAGTTTAGCAGCTTAAAGGGCAACCTCTATTCACAGATCACACATGAATTTTATTTTTATTTATTTTTGGTTTTTCGAGAAGGAGTTTCTCTGTATTGTTTTGGAGGCTGAATTTTTTTTTTTTTCGAGACAGGGTTTCTCTGTGGTTTTGGAGGCTGTCCTGGAACTCGCTTGGTAGTCCAGGCTGGTCTCGAACTCACAGAGATCCGCCTGCCTCTGCCTCCCGAGTGCTGGGATTAAAGGCATGTGCCACCAATGCCCGGCTGGAGGCTGAATTTTAAAAAAAAGATTTATTTATTATGTATACAGTTTTCTGTCTTCAGGTATGCTGCAGGCCAGAAGAGGGCGCCAGATCTCATTACAGATGGTTGGGAGCCACCATGCGGTTGCTGGGAATTGAACTCAGGACCTCTGGAAGAGCAACCAACGCTCTTAACCCCTGAGCCATCTCTCCAGCTCCCCCCCCCCCATGAACTTTAACTTTATTTCCAGATCCCGAAGCTCTCTCTTCAGTCTCAGGGTCACTGAGTGTGTTTAGGACAGGATAGGAGTCTCCACATGACATTCAAGACTGTTGTCAGAGGGTCTAATGACAGCACCAAGAAAGTCACACTTGGGTCTAAGTGATGGCTGCATCTTGAGCTCAGGTTGTGTGAACCTCACAATCTGATGTCCATTTCTCTTACTCTTTGGTCCATGCTGGTCTTAAGCTTCATCTTCCCCTCGAGCTAGGATTTCAGGTGTGTACCACCACACCCTTTGACTCTTAATTTTTCAAACCAAATCTTCCTGAAAAACCACTTGGCAAACTCATGTCCTTCAAGAACTGGATCAAGGTCACCCCACAGACCTAGTAACAAAAAACCCCACTGTATTTCCAGCTATTCCAAGGCTGAGGCAGGAGAATTGACCAGTTCAAGGCATGCCTGAGTAACTCAATAGGCCAGTTTCAGAGCATTGTCTGGCACACGCAGGGTCCTAAGTAAATATCACACTGGGAAAAGTCACTCCTATGCCTTGAATCTCTTTGCTTCTGTTCCTGAATTCATGTTGGATGGTGCATTATTGAATTACTGTCTTGCTTTGAGGTGAGCTTCTTGAGGGCAGGGGCCTGTTTCTGGGCTTGGTTTGGTGCCAGAGTCAACAAGCGCTCAACAAAGGACTGTTGCATTAAGTGGCAGGTCAGTTGTTACGTCTCTGCTCACAGATACACTGCCTCGTGCTGCTCCTCTCATGTGAATGGGACATGACCAAGCTTTGATATGACTCATTTAATAAGCATACCGGAATTTATATATCCAAACGAGGGCTGCTTCCTTCAAAGTCTTCACTTGTAAGGCTGGATGCTACTTAGTCCGGTGATGCCGGCATTTCCGCAGACTCTTTGGATCACCTCTCTCGGGCACAACCATGGCATTTACACTTTCTTTCCAGCGTTTCCCATGCTACCCTTCCCTCATTAAGTCTGTATATCTCCACCCTATGTTAGTGCTGGGGAAAGATAAGATAAATCCGGCAGTTTACTGCCTTCAAGGATTTGTTTGGCCAAGGAGCTTGGACTGGGAGAACCACAGAAATATAAAAACTAAATGATAATGCTCCAGAGATTGTTCGATTTTTGGAAATAGTCTTTTCTTTGGTTTTAAGTTTCCCAAAGCGACAGGGTGGGAGCCGGAGCTATGTAGTAACTGTAGCTGCTTTAAGCCAAATTGTTAGGAAGATTACTCAGCCCCAACCCACGTGTTTCTCCCAAGTTGATTTGGCACTTAGAAGCCTAGGCTTCTAACTTCATGACGACTCTGTCCTGTATCTTGGATCTCCAGCCAAATTCCAACTCTCTGCGAACCCCTGCCGGGACCCTATATTCATATTATTCTCGCAGCATCCGGTGGACCTATTAACAGGATAAAGAGTCACAGAGTTACAGCCGAGCACATGACGGGTCTCCCCTTTCTTCCCTGCTTTCTGAGTGACAGTTCTGCAGATCCCGAGGGACACCGAGAGAACTGAAAGGGCCAATACTGGGGAGGGCTGGAGAGGGAAAGCGGTGGCGGATCTGGGAGCAGAGCCGGGAGTTCCTGCTTCCTGCTCCCGGAGCGAGAGTCCTCGGTAGCAGCCTCGGGGAAGGGAACAGCCCTTCCTGCTCGCGTCCTTCCAGGAGCGCAGCGAGGCGCGCCCCACCCCGGCGGAGGGGACGGTTTTCAGCTGGAAGTGGTGGGGGGACAGCTAGGACTCAACGCCACCCGGGTGTGTGGGGAGCTGGATGAGAGCGGGAAATCGGTAGACCAGAGCCTAGGCGGGTGGGTGCGAGCGGCGGGAGGCGCCGAGGGATCCGCGGGGTCCTCGGGTGTCTCGGCCCTGCCCCGTCCCGTGGCTGCCCGCGCTCCCCCGGGCTCCGCCCCACCGCTCAGCCCGGCCCCTCTCCGACCGGGTCTCCTCCCCGAGGTGCGGGCGGCAGCGCCACTCCCTCCGCTCCCAATCCAGCCGCGCGCGTCTCATTCCAGCGCCCATTCCGCGCATTCCTGCCGGGCTCCTCTGCAAACTCCGGCCCCGGGGGTGGGGACCGCCGCAGCTCCGCGCTCCGGCCCCGCAGCCGCCGCCGCTGGAAGACTTGGCGCCCCGAGCGGACCTGCTGCAGCCGGCCGAGCGCTCCCACCCCGCCTCCCGCACCCTGGGACCGGTAAGTCTGGCGAGTTCGGAGGATATCGGCGTCCCGCGTGGTCCCAGGCAGCACTAGAGGACCATCGGGGCACGTGCGGGAGGTGGAGCTCAGGGGCTGGGCATAGCAAGGTCGCCTGGCTGAGATATCAGAAATAGGCGATTTAAGAGCCCCAGCTAGTTTCTTTTCTACTTTTCGGCCAGGAGAAGCTAGCCGCGGAGGGAGGCGTGTGGCTTGCACCTTTTGCAGAGGTCCCCAGGGTTTGAGACGCTGTTGCTCCCAATGCTGAGGAGTGATGGACAAGAGCTCCCCAAACTCCAAGGCACTATACCCTAGCAGGTAGCCCAGGGGCGCGCGGCGTTGCACACACACGTCAGGGGGCTCCAGGCACACCCACACCCCGATTCCGTGAGTGAGTTTAAGCGAGATCTTACTGTGCCAGCATCCTTAAGTTTTGGGTGTTACCTGAGGGTGAGAGATCTGGGCACTGTGACTCACCTTGCTTTCAGTAGGCGCGTTTGTTTGTGCTGAACGTGACAGTGTGTACATTGTACTACAGTGCGCCTTGAAGAAGGTGCCGTGTGAAACCCTGAGTGTCGGGAGTGGGTGTGTGGTGCCTCCCTCCTCTCCAAGACTGTCCTCGCTCTGAGGATGTTGGTTCTGGCTCTGACTTCTTCCTGCAGAACCGGAGCAGGAGACGGTGTTTGCAACCTCTTTGTGTGCAGGGAGAGTTTGACAGTAGTAGTTGGAGGTGTCCTCCCGTCCCCCCTCCCCACTCCATCCCTGCTGGGTTGGGCAGAGCTGGCAGGAAGCTGCCTACACCTGCCCCCCTTCCAGGCAGCTGTCTTTCTGAGGGAGAGTTGATCCTGTTCTGGGGGAATGGTTTAGAGAGCTGTTGGGAGGCTGACATCTCTGCCCTTAGGGAATAGGATGGGCTTTTGAGAATGTTTGTGGGGGTGGGCCCCACAAAAGGAGAGACCTTGTTAGATTGTTTTCTTTTGGGACAGAAGTCTAGTCTAGCCTGGCCTAGTACTACTTACTACCTTAGCATAAATTGACTTTCATCCTTCTGCCTCAAAAAACAAAACAACACAACGGAACAACAACAACAACAAAAAACAACAAAAACAAAACCACAAAAAACAAATAACTTTTTTTTTTTTGAGACAGACTCAAAAGACCAGTCTGGCTTTGAACTCACAGCAGTTCACTTACCTCAGCCTTCTAAATTCTGGGCTTACAGGCCTGAGTCAGCAGACTTGGGTGACCATGTTGGATGTTGGGATGTTGATAGTGTTTCTAAGTTGTCCTCAAGGACAAAACAGCATCAAAGTTTACTGGTCTAAACTACCTCTCAGGGTTAGCCTCTTCTTGGAGCACCAAGGGGGAAAAATCTCATTCCTTAATAGACTATTAGACCTGACTCCTCCTGAGTAGTTGGGGTCTTGTTCTGTAACCCAGACTTCATTCAAACTGGGTAATCCTCTGCCTCAGCTTCCAGAGCGTGGGGAACCGTGAGTAGCTCAGTGCCTTAGTGACAGTTTGGAAGGTGAGGGCTGCCTTGGGCTTGTTAGCTTCCTCCAGGATGATGGTATGAGTGCCACAGACAGACTTGGTGTCAGAGTTCTCCCTCATGAACACAACAGAGATGACAGCTAGGGTTTCTTGGGAGGAAGGAACAGAAAACGGTCAGGAGTGGGGGCTCCTGTGTTTATCCTTCCTTCTATCCTGCTAATGTAGATTAGATAATGTGCTGGGAAATGCCTCATATCCCTGAGCACTCAGGCCATGTGTACTGCTGGTTTACAAAAAACAGCTCTGTAGGGTAGAAAATGCACAGCATGGGGTCAGACAGACCAGACCCGGACAGATCTTGAGACTCACTCACTACCTTTAAGGCTTTTGGGCTCAGTTTCCTGATGAGTAACATTTAGGGAGTGAGAGGGGGAGGGGGAGTAACTAGTACTTGCAGAAAGCTTGTGCTGAAAACTCTGTTTGCAAAGCTCCTGATGGCACATCCCAGGGCCCATGGGAACGGCAGCGTAGCTTATGTTTTCCCAAGCTTGCCCCCTTCCTCCTTCCATGCTGAGGGCTGAATTCAGGGTCCTATACCACGTGAAATTTGAATGACCGTTCCTCTGAACCCCCCTTGGGAAACCTCGCCCCGTTCATCGCATCTGCTTTGCCGATGTGAACTGAACATTTGCTGGGGGTCCCGTGCCATGGGGAGGCCTTCCTTTGCCTCCCCAACAGCATTCCCAGCTCCCATACGCTCATTTCCATTTTGCCCTGCCCTGGGGTGAATTTGTTGAGCACTGTTGGACCCTCTGCCATTGTCCAGCCCTTTTGTGGGGAAACTGAGACCCCGAGAGGGACCATAAAACCTTCAGGATTGCATATGCCCTGAGTGGCAGAGTTGAGAGTAAAACCTAAGCTCTACACTTTAGATTCTGTCTCCTGCATTGTGGAACCCAATATCTGGGCCCCCAAACCCTAGCTTCTGTTGCTCATCCCGTATGGAAACTGTAACAGTCTGACTTGGGTGGTGGCTGCCTTTCTGTGATACAGGTAGACGATTCTCCTGCGTCCGAGAAGAAAGTATACAACTACTTTATAGTAGGATATAAGCACACCAGTCTGGGGGGACCCCACGAGCCTTCTATTGCGTTCTCCTTCCTCTAAAGGTCTAAGTATTACTCTGCCAGGTATGTGCGAGGGAGTGTGTGTGTGTGCACGCGTTCAGGTTTGCTAAGTACACTGCCCCACCCCTGAGCTCCTGTCCGGGCTCTTGTCTTTCCCATCTCCCGGGATGCAAATGTCACAGCCTCCCTTGGCCTCCCTTCTGCAGTCTTGTGCTGGTGACAGTCACAAAGCCATACCTATTGCCAAACTTGTGTCTCCTCCTTCTCAGGGGAGGTAGAGGGACACTGGCCCCTGACTTTGGGCCTTACCCTTCCTGTAACTGAGGCGTCTGGTGGCGCTTGGGAACTCAGGGCTGCTTTGCCCCCTTGACCCTTTGTTGGCAGAAGTGGGAACAACAGCTCTGTTTAAAGCTCTGAAACTGGAGCTGAACAGCTGCTCCCCAGCACCCTGAGGGCGGGGTGTCACCAGGCTCAGGGGCCCAGGTGGAGGCTGGGGTAGGGCAGGCTGCCTCACTGGGAGCCTGGAGTCTCCATCTCCAGGGTTGCCTTGACCTCTTGTGAAATGGTAGTTTTCTCCGTGCTGGTTTTGTTTTCTTTTTTTAAGGCTATGTGTTCGGGATTGTCTAGCCACACCTGTGTGGTTGTTCCTAGGGCCCTCAGCTGCCGGGACAGGATCTGTGGGAAGTTTCCCACCAGAACTTCAGGCCAAGATCTATGCCCATCTGTTTGCTTGTGACACAGGCCAGCTTTCCAGAAAGGCAGGAGGATGGGCCTGCTGCTCCCTGGTTTGGGCCAGCTTCTCGGCCAGGCCAGGGTGGGCAGGCAGGCCCCCATGGGTGGGGACCCAGTTTCCTTTGACCCAAACTCAATGGGAACAATAGACTTCAGAGGAGTCACCAGGGGCAGGAAATGGAAGCTGCGCTAAGGCCAGGGTGACCCTCCTGGGGGATGGGACTGCATATCCGGTTGAGTGTTAGGACCAGTGCAGAGGGCACTGGGGAGGGGCTGATGACACATAGGGTGGGCCCTGGGGTGGGGCTCTCTGCCTAAGGGGGCTGTTGACTTAGGGTGAAACCTGAGCAGAAGGACCCATTATTTGCTTGAGCACTTTGTTGTGTGTCTTAAGCAAAGCCCTTGTGTCTGGCAGCCTCCTGCCAGGTTTCTGCCAGGCTCACAGGGCCAGAACCGTGCCTTCCCCTTCCCCGGGAGCCCCCAGGATGGCTCCGTGAGTTGGCTTGGCCAGGATGAAAGACTAGTGTTGTTTCTTCCTGGCTGCCCTCCAACCTGGCTGCCTTCCACCTTGGCATTGAGCCCCAAGTAAGAGTTGATGGAAGGTGACGTTGGGCAAAGCTCTGGGTAGGGAGACAACAGCCTTGGGTCAGTTGGACTACTGTGAGGAGAGTTCTTCAGCCACAGTCACAGCCAGACAGGCAGGGGGAGATTCCTGCCTGAGGCAGGTGGTGGAATGTTCTAGGAGCCTGGACATTATCTTGCCATCATCTATGGAAGGGTGGGACAGATTCTGTGTGCATGCGCTAAGGTGCGCCTTGCTTTGGGAGAAGCGAGGGTCAGTCCATGGAGTTTTTTGTGTGAGTTCATTTTGCTAGATTCTCACAGGTCATCTTTGGGGGTGCAGAGAGCAGCCTTAGGAGTGGCTGTAGGAAAAACACATGCCAGCCTGATTTATTTATTTCTCCAAGGGACAAGATGAAGGTTCTGAAAATGGCAGAGCACTGGATTTCTTGTCCAAACCTTGCCCAGTTCTAGATCAAGTTTTATTCCATTTATTGGCTAGTTGGTTTGTTGGTTTGCCATGCTGAGCCTGGATCCCAGGAACTCATGCATGCTAGCAAGTGCTCTGACCCCCCCCCCCTCCGCTAGTCCTCTGTGTCAGAGTTTTTCATAAAATCTCTATGGAGAAATGGAGTTTGAGGTAACTAGTCTCTAGTCTCTAGCCTGGATTCACTCCAAGTAATCTTTGGATGGAGAAATATTCTTTCTTTTTCTTTTTTGTTTGTGGTGCTGGGACTGGGGGCAGGGGTGGGTGGGTGGGAGACGGGACTTGTGCATTCTGGGCAAGCTCTATCACCGCTCGACACTGTAACTCCGCAGTAAGGTTTTTCAACTTCATAGTTTTCCTGGGAACCAGAGAAGTGACTGGTGTCGGGTGTGTCTGGTTGGAGGACTATCTTGGGCACTGTGTGCAGAGCTCACCCTGCGTCTCCCGCAAGGCCAGGGAACTTTCTAACGGCAGAGCCCACAGCTCTCTCTAGCCCTATGCTCTGTTAGCCCTGTGGGTGTTGAGGATCATGAGGAAGCCCTGGATGGCAGAACCAGGCCTGCGTCATCTCACTGGCTAGAATGTTCTAGGAGGCCGGA